ACACATTTAACACATTCAGACATAATTCTCATGTACATAGAGGTTTGGATGTATTTACACTGGTTGGTTTTGCTTTAAATATTCTTTGTAGCTAAGTTGCATTTTGTTTTTTTTTCGCCGCCAGATCTTTGCAGTTTAGGACCCGCCTCTGAGCTGAAGGCACCAAAGCAAAATGGGAATCACACAGATTTGGCCAATGTTACATCCTATTTCCCAAAGGCCCAGGCCTCTTTTGTTCTTGCACTTTTTTTTCCAGCACTTTTCATGAACTTCATTTGTCACGGGTTTGAGCCTCTCCTGACATTGTTCTTACAGGTTTGTTTTAGGCTCTCATGTCTCCGTTTCATTTTGCATGTCTACACCACACTTTTAGAGGATAAACACATTTCGTGCAGTTCATCAGAAGCTGAGTCACGGATGAGTACAATCAAGTCAACACGAGACACGAAAATTCTTACGGGATTGACACAACTTTCCAGACCCCATTTCCTGATGTTCGCCGCTTCCTTCTTCTTTCAGGAGTGATTCCTCAGGCAAGCCTTTCTGGGAAAGCTCCTGGCAGGGGCCCTGAGCATTCTGGCCTGGGAAGCCCCTAGGGTTCCATGAAACACCTCCCCAGCATCACCCCTTTTAGCTGCTGGAGTGTTTGTTTTCACGAACTCCCAGTGCTGCTCCGAAGAAGCAAAGTGAGCTGGGCCTTCACTCACTCACTCATTCATTCATTGAACAAATATTTATTGAGTGCCTCTTACGTGCTGGGCACTGTTCTAGGTGCTTGTAAAATCTCAGGGAGCAAAGAACAAGAGCCCCTGCCCTCCTACAGCTTGGCATTGTAGACCTTCTAGCGGGTCACGAAGGTCAAAAAGACAGAAAACTTCAGGCAGAACTAACAGCACACGTGAGAGCCAGGCTTCAGAAGACAGCCCAGCAGCTTACAGGAAATGTCTGCAAATTCTTCAAAAGTTCTGGAAGGGAACCTACCAGGTGAGGAGCAGCTGGGTGCCTGGAGGGGTGGGGCTGTCCCATCTAGAAGGCAGTGGGTGTTCTGGGGTTCGCCAAGGTTCCTGTACATAATAAACAAAAACTTATTGAAATCAAGTAAAAAAGCTCTGACAGTTTAAATTTTGAGAGGTACACTAGTTCTTATAAAAACTATGAATATTGGGGAAATTGGTAGCCTTTTGATGAATGAATAAATGAAGGAAGGAAGGAGTGACAGAATGAACGGGAACAGTCAGGTATGAATTTTTGAAAGACAACTGTTGTGTCAGTTTACAAAGTAGAGTTGGATGGAGAAAGGAGGTAACTAGATAAAAAAGGAGCACGAGGCCCAGGAGGGAGTGACAAGGATGAAAAGTCCTTGCCTCGGCGTTGCCCCAGGCGCTGCACTCAGGGAGTCCAAGGGAGCCATCGCTGGACCGTACGCGAGCACTGCCCCCGGCGATGGGCGGTGGGCCAGCCTTGGGGGGAGCTGTGGCAGGGACGATGGCAATGAAAAGTGGGAGCAAGACGAAAGACACTCGGGTCATACAAACAGGTCGGACTTGCTGACTGGTTGTTCTTTCAATTTTATGGCTAATGATTGAAGTACTGAAAATTACTTACAGTTTTCCCTTAAATTTTATTTGAGTGATCATAGTATTCCTTCTTAGGTTAATATTCTCAAACTATTGCCTACAGATATGATTTTGGAAAACTGAAAAAGCATTTTTCTTCACTCGCTAATTACTGAAAACCTAACACAACAATTTTATCGCTGTATCGGTATCTGCCAGTTGAATCCAATGTACACTTTAGGTCCTCCGTGAAGACTCTGAATTTACCACGGTTGCCCCATGACTTCCCATTGCCCTCTCTTCACCTACTCAGCTGCTGCATTCAGAGTCTTTAACATACCGCTCAATGCATGATCCTATATTGCTTTCCACCTATTTCTCGCTAGCTACTATTAGGTCCACAACACTTATAATTGCCCCGAGGGTTATGAGGTTAGAGGTCAGAGGTTGGTTAATGGAAAATGGGGGTCATGTCATAAAATTTATGTAATTCATCTCATCATTCAAGTTTTGCAAAAGCCAAACCTCCCTCCTAAGGAAAATCTTTAATGTTTTAAATTTATCTTTTCAGTCAAACGATTTTTGAAATGTCTTCATATAAAAATTAATGTGTGAGAAAAGATAGTAAATGTCTTCTCATCTTAGCATTAGAATGATAAAAAGTCACTGATCTGTTCTTTTGGGGGCCATTTCATTTTTTCATCTCTAAAGTTTATTGCAAGATCGTAAGATTTCATGTTTCTCAGTTTCTATTTCTAATGTGTGGATGTTATTTCTATATTTGTTAAAAATGTGTCTGCATTTTGCACATTTCTAAGATGATCTGCAGGTGTGAAGTTTCTGTTCAGATTTTTAAGTGAGTTGGTTTTTGAAATCTTATCTTTACATTGGAAACGCCAAGGTGCTGGGGGCTGATTTATTTTTCAGAAGGCTGGCTTGACTTTTAATGGGTTATTCACTTTAAAAGCAAATTTTAAATGTTTATTAAAAGTCTCACTAATAAAATTTTGTTGCTCATCTTCAGGTCATGATTCGAGACCTTTGGCGAGATGAGGGGACTGCAAACCAGGTGGCACAGTAAATCTGGTTAGGAATGAAAAAGGGTCATTTATTTCCCAGCCATTACTGAAATTTCTTGGAATAATTCTGGAGCAGGCAAGGGTAGGGGAGCATATTAACCGTATTGGCTGTAAACTGACTTGATACTTGAGATGCATGCAGTGTTACTCTCAGGTTTAGGTTCCATTAAGGGGTCCCAGGCAACAAGCAAAACCCTCTTCAGTGGATAGTTATAGGTCAAGGTCAGATCATGGACACAAAGGTCATCTGATTGCAACCTCCATCACCCCAGGGTCAGAACGGTCGAACTTCGCAACATCTTCCTTCCTCACTAACCACTCCCCATGCTCTCCTGAAACGGAGCTTGCAATAACAGCACACGGCCAAGAACAAGAGGGTTGCTATATGGTCAAGGCTGTCTCAGTGGCTCTGCAACCCCACTAGAAGTCCGGGAAGACCTACGCACAAATTTTGATCTCATGCCCAGAATCATTCCGCTAACCCACCTGTGCTGGCCTGATAAAGCAGAGGCAGAAGCCAAGACAGCAGGAAAAGGACTGGGAGTCAGATAATACATCTCAGCTCAGCCTCAGTCCTATTGACTTATGATATTGACCTTTCTGATCTCTGCTTCCTCATCCTGCGAACTGCTCGGCCACGGCAGCTCGGGAAAGAGGTCAGGACCAAAAAACATTGGCAAACGTCTGCAAGCTATTTATAAGACTCACGAAAGCCACTTCGTGAACTGCACTTTAAATGGGTTTTTTTTCCTATGTTCACGGTGATTCTCTTATTTGATGGTGGACTCCTTGAGGACATGTCTCCTGGCTTGGTTGTACTCAACCATCTTACTGGCATTTTGCCTCACGTGTAGAACAACATAATCACGGAACCTCAGAAAGGTCTCGAAACTGTCAGTCACCAATCAGATCCTTGCCACTTGGCTACATCGTTGTGGTTAACTTTACATGTCAACTTGGCTAGACCATGGTACCCAGTTTTTGGTCAAACACCAGTCTGGATGTTACTGCGAAGGTAGTTTTTAAATGAAATTAACATTAAATCAGTTGACTTTGAATAAAGCAGATTACTCTTCATAATTTGGGTGGGTTTCCCCCAGCTATAAGTCTTAAAAGATTGAGATGCCCCAAGAAAGAAGGAATTCTGTCTCTAGGCTGCCTTCAGATTCAAGACTGAAAATTCAACTTTTCCTTGAGTTTGCAGACTGCTGGCCTACTCTGTAGATTTTGGACTTGCCAGCCTCCATAATCACACGGAAAACCCTGCCTAAGACAATCATTTAACCACCTCTCAAATACTGCCAAACGATCAAAACTGTCTTTGAGACTGGACTTCGTAAAACTGCAGTCCTGGGATTGAGACGGTTCAATCCAACAAGTTACAAACTACGTACAAACTACGGTTTTGATCAAGTTTTCAGAGCCTAGCTCCCCATCTCTGAAGCAGTTATAATAGGACATCTTAGAAATTCCAAGTGATATGTATGAAGCGCTCATAATATAAAATGATTCTCAGACAGTGGCCGTCACCATTTTGCTCTGATGAACTAAGTGGGATTAAACCCTGCTACTGGCTGTTCCAGTAGCTGATGGCCAGGCTAGTTGAACTTTGAACTTCTCAAGTGAATTCAGCTTTCTTGGCCAGAAATTGACTGTGTGCTCCATGCTTCAGGATTACCTTCACTTGCAATGTTGCCGTGCAGGCTACAAAGAGACGCTTCTGGAGCTGAGTCAGCCTTCTTTATTCTGAAGCAACTGGGCCCTCTTGGAGGATGTCTCCCCTGAGAGGGTGAGAGCAATGGCCAGTAGCAGAACCACAACCTGAGTGATCAAAGAATTGGGAGATAATGGTTTACACTGCTGATCAGCCCTTGGAACTTGACTTAAAAACAAACAGTATAGGAATTCAAAGGACACTCTTTCTAAGAATACGTTCACCCCATTAATCAGTTTCTCAAATGAGTCACATTTTTTAAAAAAACGTAATAATCACTAACCTAAGGTGTACAGGCATTGGGGAATAATTTTTTCTCTGTGAGGGCTCACATTTTTTCTAAAGACCACAACCATTTTTTTTTAATAAAAGTACTAGGAATTTCAAGGGCATATCAGCATAACTGACATTTTGGATATGAAATCATAATAAATTATTAGAGATAATTTTTAAAAGGAAAAATTTAAGCTTTTGTGAAATTGAAAGCTTACATTTTATATTTAATTTAATGTTGCAATAGTTTTAGAAAGATGTATTTCAATCAGTCGTCACCCTGCTAAGTTCATACTGTAACCGTTTTTCACAAATTTTCTTTCAGTTCTAGGTCCCAAACTATTTCAGACAGGACATTGGGACTTTCTTATTAGTCAGTATCTAAATTCAGTATTTCCAAGAAGAGACTCAAGAACAGCTTTTAAGGAAGATTTTATCACCTCTTGCTAAATCACATTTCAAATTGCTAACAGGGTATTGCACAGCACAAATGGGACCACGTGTTCAACAGTCAAGACAAGCAGACGTGACTGTAAAACGAGAGTCAGGCATGCAGGACCTTGTATGTCAGGATAATCTGGCTACATAATATAGACACAGCCAGAGGTTTAACTGCTCAGCTGTGCTGGAAGCTGTTAGTGAGAGCCAGGGGTCACCTCTTCAACAGCAGAAGCCGGCGGTCGTGAGCTCCTGGCACACGGCCCGGTGGTCTGAATAATCAAACAAGAGCTGAAGTCACCCAGAGACTCCCAGCCCAAGTCCAGGACGTTGACATGCAGTGACAGGACACTCACTGAAATCCAAGGAACAGCACAGGAGGGTCAACCAGGCCTTGTCTGGAGTGTTCTGGAAACAACAGACAGGACAGGGTGTAAATTAGAGAATTTTAATAATGCTTTCTTTGAGAACAAAAATACAAATGCTGATAAAAGTTTGTATTTAGCTACTCCCTATGTTTCTTAAGTCTATCGCTTCTGGGGGAAAATTATGAGAAATTGTATCACTTTGTGTTGTCTTTGAAAATAACTGAAAATGTTTCCGCAAATGACTTTAACACCCATCACTGCGAGAGTTTATTCAACCCTAACATTTATCATTTTATCTTCTTCCTGTTTACTTTGTCATTTAGCATAACTTCTCTAGAAACTTTTTTTTTGATTTGTCAACAACATGGGATAAGACTTTTTCTCCATGACCCCATGAGAGAGTTCATAGGACCTGGAGAGAGATATGTACCCACAAGGATAAAAGCCAAGCTCCCTAGCCTGACCTTGGCAATCAGTGTAACATTGTTTCTTTTCATGACCTTCTGATTATTTGGGAACAAAATTATCTTTCTGTGCCTAAGCTTGTAAGGCACTTGATACGTTGGCTTTCGCCCGGTCTGTCAGTGGTTGGCTTTCGCCCGGTCTGTCAGTGGAAGCCAGTGTTATCTGCCTATTCGTGGGAGCTGTCTCAGCAGTTAACTTTCGTTTTAAGGAAACAGAACGAAATTCCGCAGTAATATTTTATTTTGCCATCACAGATAACAAACAGATTATGAACGAGCTGTAGCTTCATGATGTACGAAAAGAGAATAGTTCCTTAGGATGATCATTTTAAAATAATACTAAAAAGAGGAAAGCAAGCTTAATTAGTGATTTTGAGAATTACTAGTTCTTGCTTTGATCTGAGTTTAGAAAAACTATGGTCAATAATACTCTAATACCAGTATCACAGACAGTCTTGAAACTTTATTAACACTTGAAATACATTAAGAAGCAAGAGTAAAAATTTTACAATTTTACTTTTGTTGCCTCTACGCTTGTTTCTTTATGCTATATAATGTGTGTTACTAAATCTGAATTTAATTCCTGGATCTGCCATCCATTCACCATGTGAACACACTTAATTTGAGAGCTTCTCCTCACATTCCTTGTCTTCTAGTTTCTAGTTGGCAAAACAGGAGGATAAACAACATATTTATCCGTAGGAGTTTTAATGAGATGAGCACAGATCACTGCAGAAAGCTTTTTTTTTTTAAAGCATTTATATTTGAAAGCAATACAAAGTGTTTAAAAGCGAGGATTTTGAAGTATAGTTAGACTGCTGTTTGTGACTGAATTTTGCTAAATAGGACGTATTGGCCTGGAGGAAATAACCTCTCAAATACGAATTACTTACCTGTAAAATTAGTATAACAGTCACACCACACACAGCGTCGTCATGAGGACTGTATGAGATTCAAAAGCATGTTTAGCACATAACCAGGGTCTCAGGGCTCAACTGGCTTCGGCAACCATTTATTACTGCAGGAATAAAAGCTGAGGGATCTGTTTTCATCTAATTAAAACAATTTCCTTCAAGCTGAAGAGTAGAACTGATTCCAGTCTCAATCACGTCTCTGAGAATTAGGTTGTGTGTCTAGTGGGAGGCTAGAAATGCAGACTGTGGTCCTGGGTGGTAAGTCTTAGCAGACATTGCTGAGTCATCAGCCATTGTGCAGTGACTGAAGCCAAACGTATGGATGGAATCACCCAGTAAAATACAGACAGAGACAGAAGGACAAGTCCATAGGGAGCACAGACAGTGAAGGCCAGGAAGACACAGGAGAAAATTTGTCCTTTCCCCTGAAATTAGAGGGATGGAACTAGGGGCCGGGGACAGACACAGTCAAAATTTTAGTGAGGAAGAGCATGAAGAATGGCCATGTTTAATTATCTCCACATTCTCTGATGCAGGTTTTAGGCTAATGGAATATAAGGAAAGAACAGAAAAAAGGGCAGTCAGTGAACCAGCCTTGGTGACACGGGTAATTCACAGGTGGGAACAGACAACAGGTTAGAAAGAGACGTAGGCCAATCAGGGAGGACCTTAGCTGTTGGAATAATGTTTATCCTCCATCACCGAGGGAAACGATAAGATGGAAACAGAGGCTTTGGGAGCTTAAGTTGCCCATAGAGTTCAAGATAAACTATAGGAAAACTAGACTCAAGGAAACCAGTGAGCATGCTATGGTGACAAGGTGCTCTGAGCGCATTTTCGAAATGGTCTGAGCCTCTGGTCTGCTCTCTGCCACGCCACCACTTTCCACCACTTTGAACCCCATCGCTAACCCCCTTCATCCTTCAGTTCTCAACTCAAGTATCACCTTTCCAGGGTAGCTTTCCCTGACACCTGGTCTGATCTTAATACCACGTCCTCAATACTGTCATGGTCCCCAATCAAGAAACTTATCACTCTGTTCTGTGACGCTCACCTACTGTCCTTCTCCCCAACTAAACTGCAAAATTCCTAACAGATGGAAACCACGCCTCCTTGTGCTCTGGCATCTGGCACATAACCTGGAACATCATCAAAATTCAATGAAGGTGAATGAATAAATGAAGGAAGGAACAAAGACATAGATCCTGACTAAATACTATTACTATAAATCACAAAATCAGAAATGAAGCATGGACAGAGCATCTTTTACAGTGAGCTATGTGAAAATGGTTCTTCTAAGAAAATGAAGGGTAATTAATGAACATTTTTTTTTGGCAGTAAAGGTCAATAAATTCTTGTTAAGGCATTCTAACCATAATTTATAGTCAGACAACCAGCGTGCTCCCCACAATTGCTTCCAAGTTATTCTGTGAAGCAGTTGGCAGATGTGCTAAGCCCTTCCCTGCCAGCCGAGAGCCAAAGGGTGAGAATGTAATGAAGTCGTTCTCCTTCTCTTGTGTTCTTGAACCGGCTTTTCTATTAAAGAAAATCAGGAATCAGCCTGACCTTCCTTGCAACGAATGATGCTTCACAGAATTTTTTTTTAAATGCCACACGGAAGGCAGTGACTTTCATATGGTGAGGCTATGCCTAGAGTCCCACCAAGTCAGTGATTTCGCGGAATTGGTTGGCTAGTGACTTGTCGGAGCTTAGATACGGTCGCCAAAGACGATTAGGTGGAAAACTCCCAGGCCTTTTATCTGGACCTAGAAGAAAAATTGTCTCCTAACCGCAAAAGCATGATTTATTTTAGCATTCCTCTACATCAGTGTTTTTCAGACCATCTTAACGTGCACCCATGTGACCATGACCTAGTCCCTTACACATGTAGGAATGTATCAAGCTTCGTGAATTTTCTCTTTTCCCCTCTTCACGTCACTTCACGGCTGTTCTATTCTACTGGCTTTTTAAGAGCCCTCTGAAGCCCTGATACTGGTGTCTTCAGCCGCTGATGGGTCTCAGCCACACATCATTTTACAACACGATGGACGTAAGCAGCAAAATTACAGACTAGAGAGTGAAGTCCGCTTTCACCTTTGTGTTGGTTTTTACTGTTTTGCCTAATTGATTTAATCCAGCTGAAGATCCATTCGGTCAAATTTCAGACTCTCTTTATCTGTGTCTTAAAACATTTCATCTTTCAGCTTCTTTTTGCTTTGTTCTGTGTGTGGTGTAGGGAGAGTGAGAGAGAGAAAAGAAGGACCACAGACCACGTGAGCTCTGTCTTAGGATAAAGATAACCTTTGGGAAGCAGAAAGGGTGAGACTTCAACGTCATCTAGCTAAACATTCCTGGAATTTTACCTTGATTTTGGTCTCATTCATGAATCCATTCAACACACATCTTGTAGCCCTTACTGTCCGTCAAGTTCGGTGCCTGGCTGTTGGCGAGTCAAAGATGAAATATAGGTTTCTGCCATAAATATGTTTAGCATCTGGGGAGGAGGGAGATGGGAGAAAAATTATGAAGTAATTATTTTGAAAAACCAACCTATATTTTAGGTCACCATTTCCTGATCTGAGTTAAACTGCTATCTCAGTGCAATAAACTATAATAAGAGATGCTGTGGATCTAAAATTCAACTTGATAGAAAAATAAACCTCTAGGCCCAGTGGTTGCACTCTGTTTGTGGCAGAGAGTTGATTTGAGCTTAACTTTATTCCCCCTACCCCTGAGCTAGTCAAGGCTTCCTCCAAACCACTGGCTCCTTGATTCCAGACCCTCACCTCCTTGGAGGAGCCATTAAAAAGTCTTGCTTGTGATGCTCTGTGCACGTGAGGACTTGATACCCTGATAAATCCATCCTGCTAATCTTAGTGCACACACTGCTATACTCTTGGACTAGGATTATCTCATTTCCTCATTGATAAATAATAGGAGTGAGTAAAAGACTTAAGAAAAGCCAAGGTGTAGATAACTTCAAGTGTGATTCAGTACATACTTGCTTTTCTCCTGTGGCTAGCGGGAGAGAGATCATCTTGCATCTGATATCATTTGCTAATAGTGATATGAAAATGCACATGAGAAGAAAGAAATCCAAAGGCATAAATAAACCCTTAGTTATTTTCAGAAAAATTTGTAAATAGGCTCTGGCTGGGAAAGAATTACACTTTACCTTCTAAGTCACTTTAATGGTCATGTTTGAAGTGAGATGTGAGAAACCTAAATGGGTGACTAAACATACACAGAAAGTTCCCACCAGGACAGGAAAATTCAGCAGGGCAAGGAACAAGCAGTGAGACAGTGAGAAGAGGCGCAAAGCACTGTCTGCTGTCCGCTTGCTCTTACAGCCAAAACCAGAGAAACCACCTCGCATCTGGAATTCTCAGTGATGACCGTAGATTCCGTGTCAGTTTCCAATGTCTCCCCATTGGGCCTTGGCTCTGGGGCTGCTGTGCCCAGGGTGGGGGACAGAGAGCGCGGGGTCGTCCTTGCCACAAATCCTGTGACCCTCAAGAGGCCATGTTACCGTCCTCAGCTCCCTCCTCCGCTTTGTGCGCAGTTTCAGCGCCCATCTCATAAGGCTGTGCTGCTGATCACGTGGGCTCGTGTAAATCTCGACGTGCGGTGTGAACCTAAGTGGTAGTTGCGTTAAATCTGAATCTGAATTTGCTCTTTCTAGACTAGATCTTCCAGTCCCAAGACTTCATCTGTTGTCTTCATGCCAAAGGTGACCAGCTCCCGTCTTGGCAGCCCTGACTTCTCTCTGGAGCCACGCTGCTGGCTGGCTGTTTTCTCCTGGGCAGAACACCCTCACTTCCACCTCAGTGTGTTTAAAGGACTGTATTTACCCCCAGGCTACCTTCCTGTCCCGTAGCTTCTTTTCCTCTAAATGATAGAATTACCCTTTCCAGTTGCCTAAGGGCAAAACACTGGTGTCACCTTCAGGGTCCTCCTCCCCTCGCTCGGCCCACACCTGCCTATTTTCCACACTGTGTCAGGCCCTGCGTTAGGACAGGAAAGGCACACAGTTGCCAATTGCCCAGGCAGTCAAACCCCATCTTCTCACTATTTCCCTCCCCTGTGCCTCTGCCAACTCAGCTTTCCTGTTACCATCACCGCAGCTCAAGCCCTCGAGTGCAGCGGGAGTTAAAACGAGACTTTCCACTCTTCAGCGCCTCCTGCACACTCTTGCCAGACTGGTACCTTTAAGCTTCATCCTTGCACAGGATTTGCGATGTCTCCTCTGGCCCCCAGCAACGGGCATGAACTCCTCAGCCCTCTGTCTTGGACCAACATCACTTTTCCGGTCTCATCTCCAAGGCAGATCTTTGTCTCTCTCCCATCCTGGCTCACAATGAGCTTTTTTATTCTTTTGCTTTGACTCAAATCTCTTCCCTCAGCCCCCAAACCACAGAGGAACATTCTTTACTCTACCCCCGAAACTCTGTCCATCTTTAAAACAAGCTCTATTCTCTTCTCTTCTCTGAAACCTTAGCAGAGCATCCTCGCCAGGGGCTGGAACTCACTCACTCTGACCTCTCCTTCATTTCGTGGGAAGAAAATCTCAGCATCTTCTCAACTTGTCAACTAGCGTGTTTTAAAGTTGAAAGTGCATTTGTTTTCCTTGGTGTCTCTGCAAATTTTTGAATAGATGGTTTAACGTTCCTACTGTTCCCCTCTCTCACTCTCCATATATATGTAAATATATACTTACATGCCTATATTTACGTATCTATTGGCGGATAGATAAAGTTCAGAGCATCATCCTGCTTGTATAAGAAACACAGTAGAATTTGGAAATGTTGTACATGTGTCATGTTTCATGTAAATAATTACTTGTAAAATCAAAGTGAAAATGATCTGCTTCGATAGCCCTCAGCAATACACCACCAAAACAGCCGAGCTGTGCAGGTAACAGAGAGGACTCTAAAGAAATCCATTATTCTTGAATAAAGATGGTTCCAGGCCTTGTAGGAGCACGGTTTTTAACTTCACTGAAATTTCACACCAAACTTTTTTTTTTCTTGTAGCTAGGTAGTGATTGATTTTTCTCAACATAAACAGCAGTAGATTAGGGAATTAATTAAGGGAAGCCTAGAATGTCTTCTCCCTGACTTCACTTCACTCACAGTGCCTGCTGGGCAGATGCAGGCAGCACTGGTAAGGAGATTATTTCTCCTTAGGGCTTGCAGAATGTAACAACTATTGTGATTAAAAGGCCTAAGGGATTTATAGTGAGAAAAGACTCAGCTATGACCTGACAACTAAAGAATATTCAACAAAATCAATTGTAGTTAATCCTTCCAACTGGTAAAAAAAAAAAAAAAAAAGGAAGGAAGATGTTCAAGGATTTCATTCAACTCTGTGATGGGTGAGGGAGCCAGGAAGATGGTGAAGCTAGATTCAAAACCACTTGAGGAAGAAGGTTTGAATGCATCCCCAGGAAATGCATTTAAAAAGCAGAATATTAGAATGAGATATGGGTGAGTCCAATACAGAAATGATTAATATCTTAGAGGGCAAGAAAACTGAAATCTTTCAGGGTTAATTTTACTACTGAACAGAAATCTACAATTACCAGGTAACTTCGTGTTGTCTACATGGTAATCAAAGACGACCAAACAACCAAGTCAGATGTGCTGAATAAACATTGGGTGGCTTGACGCACAATAACTCAGTATGATCTAGAAAAGGCATGCCACTCACCTTTTCCCTAAGTTTCAAAAGCTTTCCCTTAATCGCAGTTATCCTCTCCAAGAATCTGACGAAAGCTGTGGACCAGTCACTCGTGGTATTATGCTATTTTAGGAGGTTGGTGATCTCCCAGAAACCCATCCATATGCCCCCAGGGGTCCATGCCCTCAAGAGTGGAAAGGCTTGGTCCTTATTCTCCACGGCTGAAGCACAACCAGGGTGACCATTTATCTTGGTTTTCTTTTCGGGGAAACATGCAGGATACTCACGACAAACAAGTGGATTCCACCTCCAGCGGACTGGCCTCCAGAGCAGTAGGGAAGTATCTGGCACTCGTGTGTCAGCCTGCCAGCCCCGGACGGCCACCACGGCCTCACGCTATGAGAGGTATGAAGCCACTGAGCAGCAAGACGTCTGGCTAAGTGGGAAATGTGAGAAATTCGAGGTGAGATGATGTGAAAAATGAGTAGGAAATAGGGGCTGAGCAGTCATGACAGCCAGCAGATAGAGATGCTTGTGCCCTCTTCAAAGTCCAGGGGAACACAGAATTATTCTTTACTGTTTTATGATGCAGTTTCCTATTTTTAAATACTTCGGGCAACTATAAACTGAAAAAAGAAGTTCATTTTCAGTGAAAATAGGGCCCTGGGTTTCTGTTTTGCAAGAAAGCTGATGACGACCCTGCATGGGTTGGACTGTTTTCCACCGTTTACTATTCATAGAGGGGAGAGAAGCAGGCTCGTGATTACACCACCAGTGGCTCCTGAAGAGCATCGGTATCTATTTCAAAACCTATATTTTATTTTTTAGACTTGACACAAATATTATTTAAAGGCTTTAGAAAAGGTCCGTTTTATAGTATTCAGTGAAGCATAATGTTTCATTTAGATCAGTGACTCTTGTTTCAGTTAATTTCACTCCTTTTTTTTTAATTCCAGGTTTCCGTTTGCACCTACAAAGAGTGAAGCAGGTTCACCCGCTGGCTCCGTTGGCAGAAGAATGTGTCAGAGTTAAACGGTGCCAGTTTTGTATCAGTGCCGTCGGATGCTACGGAGGGAAAAGGCGTTAGTCCCAGTGAGGTTCCAATTTCTCACCCAGTTCACAGGATCAAAGGAAGGCTTCAGGAAGTTACTTCTGTCAAAGGTGACTCATGACTGTAAATGCTGTTACAAAATCGAATGAAAAGTTCAACGTTGAAGATAAGATAGTGTATTTTTTGTTGTTTTTTGGTTTGCTTGCTTTTAGTGATAATACCATATAAATTTTGGTCAAGCACCAGCACTGTGGTAAAACAATGTTTTTACTAAATTAAGAAGTCTGTGAATTTTGTTGTAATGTATACATAATTCTTAACAGGCATCTAAACAAGCTCAGTAGTTCAAAGACAGAATGACAACAGGTTTGGTATCGTTCATCTCTAGAAACTCAACTCCAGAATTTTTGAAGAAAGCTGATGGGAACACAAAAAATATTTCAGCGTGGCAGTTCATTCTCTTTGCTATATGTCATCATTCAGGCTTTGAAATGTTTGAGCCTTTGAAGACTCCCAGTTTAATACCTAAAATGGTATTGAATTTTGGTAGCTGGATCTCTCATATGTTGGTTGCAGTTTTGTTCAAAATCACATGAAAATCTTTAATCACGTTGTTTGAGAAACTGAGAACCCAAGAAAAGTCAGTTTGCAGAGCTTATAGCAAATCGTGATCATTCAAGGCAAAGCTTCTGAACTGGAAGATACTGTAAACTGTTCCTATAAAAGCACGGGAGGAGCCAAACACATTAAAATGACGAGAAGTCAAAAGATATTTAAGATTAAAGTGTGATATTTTACAACTGCATTTTGAAACAAGTTAATTTAGCATAAATGTCACTTGATGAAGCACCTACTTCTAATTGAGTAAATCAATACTCTAGCAAATTAAAGTAAACTGAGAAGGGCCGCACGTTTACAGCGTCTGAATTTAATTCCCCTGAAAGACATTCAAAAGGAATTTGTGAAACTGTCTGTTGAATGAAAGTAACCTAAATGGAATTACCTGGGAAAATATTTAAAATGAAATGTTTGCATATCTTACTAGGAAAACAAATCAGAAATGAGTATATTATCCATGTAGAATAATTTATTTTCAGATCACCAGCTATCTCAGCTCCTAGAAAAAGTGTATTTTCTCATTTCAAAATATCAGAGGCATATATATATTTCCTTGCTCTGTCAGCTGCAGGAACTAGAAGCAATGACACTCCAGGAGCTACAAGCATATCTAATGCCCAGATCTTGGTTTCTAACACCATTCTCCAGGAAAAGGAATCAGGGCCCCTGGGAGAACTGGCTGGATTCATGACCAGGGCAGGAAATACACATGGTGAGCCTGTAGCATCTGGTGGTGCCAGAAAACAAAACACAAAAAACATTAACGGGGGGGGGGGGCAAAGGGACACAGGAGCCAACCAAAGGCGCCCTCAACGGCCAAAACTGTGACATTTTGAGCAACAATATAAAGCAGCATTGGAATATAGCCCAACGGATAAAATAAACACCCAAACAGCTGGAGCTCTTACTGGTATAAATAAAAGATTAAACAAATAAACAGGGGAGAAGAGACAAACCTCTCACGCAGAAGAATTCCAAATAATTTACGTGGATACTCTACCCTCAAGGAAGTGGGGCATAACTTCCCTCTGCTTAAATATGGGCTGTGGAGAGTGACTTCCTCTCAAAAAGGACAGTAAGGAAATAGAGGGGAAGGACCTTTCCAGTGGAGAGAACTGACAAACCCGCCCCAGCATCAACGGTGATAAAGCTTGTTGATGGCAGGTGCCCATGATGCGATGCAGGAATGGGGTTTTACCCTGGGGTCTTCCTCCTCCCAAAAGACACCGTCCCAGCCAAATCCCGGAGAGGAACAGAAGACAAACTCCAACAGCGGGACTGCCTATAAAATGCCTGACCAGTTCTTCTCAAGACCGTCAAGGCCACCAGAACCAGGTCTAAGAAATGATCCCAGTCAAGGGGAGCCTAAGGGGACCTCAGGAGGAAGGGCTGGGCGGCCTCCTGCACGGGTTCCTGGAGTAGAAAGAAACCAGTAGGTTAAAACTAGGGCAATCTGAGTACACTATGGCTAATGAAAGAATAAGCTTTAGTTAATAGTCGTGCATCAATAGTGGTCCACTAATTGTAACACATGAACCATACCAGTGCGAGATATTAGTAACAGGGAACGCTGGGTGGGATGGTGGGCGGGAACTCTGGACTGCCTTGTAAATTTTCCTCTGATTCTAATAAAAGCCCGGATACAAGCCACACACTTTACCTTTCACTTTGGGCTCCAATATGGCCGGGCTGGGTTGGCTGTGTCCCCAGCTCATTCGAATGGAAGGTCCCAACACTTTGTACATTCATTTCGGGATTGCAGATGTGTTCCCACTGAATTTCAGTTGGGACTTCTCCCCAGAAACAATCCTGAATCTGTAAAAATATTACACTATGCTATGATTTTGAGCAGTCAAACTCCTCAAAAAATGAAAATTTTGTTTAAAAAAATCAATCATCTACAAAGAAGACTCTTTGTAGATGGACCGAACTATACAATAATTTGGAAAAATTGCTGGTAATTTTATTTTTAAAAATTAAAAATAACAACTATTGAAAAAAAAGTCTTCAGAAAAAGTTGCATCTATCAATCTTACATATCTTTGTAGTTTTTTAAAAACATGCTAATACACAAAATATACACTGAATGCTGCCTTTTTTTTCCTTCTAAATAAATATTTTATACATACACATAACCCAATCTTAGCTGTGCTTGCTGTCACTCCTCACTCTTGGTAATGTACTTTTGATCATTTAAAAACTTTTCTTTTCTCCTCAGCATGATGTAATATTTGTTCATCTTTATAACTGGTGAGGGTACCACACCACACAGTAGGTCTCAGCAAAACTGATTATAGAAGGAACCATAATTTAGACCAAAATCTATTTGAAGAACCATTGTAACAGTAAAATTGAGGTTAGATGACAGAAATCAGTCATAAAAGACTACATATTTCATGATTCTGTTTACATAAAGTGTCTGTAAAGGCAAATACATAAAAGAAAGATTGGTGATGCCTGGGGCCAGAGGCGGAAATGGGGACTGACTGGAAATGAGTACAGAGGACGTCTGGGGGGTGACGGAAGTGTTCTAAATCTGGATGATGGTAAAGTTTGCGTAATTCTGTAAATTTACTAAAATCCATTGACTCACATACTTAAAAGGGTAAATTTATGGGTCATAAATTATGCTTCAAGAAAGCTGTTTTTGAAATGATACTTACCAAGATGGCGGTACACCCAGATGGACTCAGCCAGTCTGGTGTCATTGAGATAAATTTCTAAACTTGAGAATTATTGTGGTTATTTTGCTTCTGAAACTGCTCAGAGGCAGCACAGACTCTCACAGGAGGCAAATTTCCATCCTGGTGCGTAGGAGCCAGTGTGTTCAGGGCCCTTAATCCATGACAGAAACTGCACAAAGTACTTCGCAATGAATAGGTTCTGCAGAGCATTTAACAAATCAGTTATTCTGGGTCTTGTAATTACTCTCTTTTATTCAGCCACCGCTCCCCCAGTTCTATCATTTCTGTTTGACAACTTAAAAAAAAATAGCCTATCTTTCTTCTTTTCATAGTTTAATGTCAGCTAGAGTTTGAGATGCCCCCTTTCTTTTCATTTATGCAAAGTTCTTCTTTTTTTTTCTGTATGTGAGACTACTGAGTTCAAGCAGTTAGCTGTAGAAAAAGCAATGAAAATTTTTATATTTCAATTGAACCGAACTGAAGATCCTAACCTGTGAATAAGTATATGTCATTGATGGGTTAGAAATCGATGAAAAGGAACTACAGTGGAAACACTGTGGAAAAAACAGGCACTCTTTAGCAATCCTTAATGTCCAGATATTTATGGGAAGTATCCATGAATGTAAAACAAGGGTATTAGTCACCTCTTTGTATGATTAGGGGAAATGGCCAGAAAGGAGCCAGTTAATAAAAAAAGTAAGAAAGAAAGAAAGAAAATTAAAAAGTCCAGTGGTGAGAAATTGAACATATCAACCATGAAATTGTGTTAATTTGATAATTAGAGTGTCTTAGTTCAAATGTAGATCCCGGACACTTAACAAAATGGTGACAAAATAATTAGGAATGAAGGCGTATTATACACACATTAATAGCAGAAACGGATGAAGTATAAAGCTCCCTTCAAGAAAACGTGTTTTGAACAGCACAGAGCAATTATGTACAGACTTGATATGATTTCATCATTCAAAGAGGATCTGGGAAGAAAGACAAGGAGCCTTTCCAGTTGGGTTGAGCTCTGAAGGGCACAGTCAGAAGCAGAGGAGGAAGGGAAGATGAAAGAGGAGGACGGGGATGCGGAAAACTAACAAATGAAGAGAGATGAGCACCACGAAAGCCTGCGTCGTGGCCCCTCCCCCTCATGTTTAATTTTCTGATTCTCTTTGCTTTGGCTCTTTCTCCTTCTCACCTTTATTCTCTCACACTTTGGCCGCCTTTAAGATGTTCTCGAGTCTCTTTGTATATTTAATCTCCACTCCTTTCTCTCCTTTCTTCTCATAAAAACCTTCATTAAGGCAAGAAAACTCTTGAGAAAGATGAAAATGAATGGTTTAATTTTTATTCCAAATTCAAAAGGTGGGGATGAGGAAAGGAAGCCAATGCATTATTTCTTTACAGCTCAGGCGGGATGGCAGCCTTAGGAGACAACAGCAGAGCAGGGGATAGAAACAGAGGTCTTTTACGGAAAAAGGTAATTCATTACAACGCCTGTTGTTCTGACGCCGGTATTTGTAGTCTCAGCCAGGTAACTGGGTTCTCTTGCTTTGTCTTTTTTCCTTGAGGAGTTTAAATTTTTTCCTTTCATAGCTATAATACAAAGATGAGTCAGTGG